GTAGGCGGCGCGACCCCGTTCGGATCGTGTGCTCCAGTCCGGATCTAGTCAACTGATCCCGGCGCGCTCCAAAACGCACAGTGGAATTCGCAATAAGCAAGTTGTGCAGAAACTCTGCGTTGGCTCTGTGCACGGGTAAGATGTGAGAGACTTCCTTAAAATGGCACTTGATGCTTTGCACCATGACCACGAACACACTATACGCTACTTTTGTGGAATTAAGTGTGACACCCACAATGTTGCCTCCTTTATAATCGATAAACGGTTTGATGTGGACCTCGTCCACCACCAAGGTTACATAACGTTGGTCATCGTTCAAGTCAGAGATCCTCTTCGCCATGTAGCTGAGGAAAGTTGAACTGTGCTGCTCTTGTTGAGGGTTCATTCCAAACGAGGAGCATATCGATAGGATATGGTCCTAGGGTGTTGCAGAAAAATGCTTTCACAGCCTCGAATGTGCTGGTATGCACGAGGCGATATTGTAAAAAAAGAATCCATGCAAACACCATAAAACCCACTGAATAACGCATTCACTCTTGGTAGAAGTCAGCTTCAATTGCTCGGCGAGCAGTTGGATGACAGCTGCTTGATCTTCACTTTGCGTTGCCGGCAGCTTGCCGAGCAGAAAACGAACAGTGGCGCAGATATCATTGTGCGAGCTTTAAGAGATTGAGTTGAGATCGCTGTGCCGATTTTCGACAGTTTCGTGGAGTTCTATGACTCCCCTTTTTGCTGTTTGATATGCTTGGTATGACCACGTTAAAGCCCCACCTTGTGACCGAAGCCTTCGCAAAATGTAGGGCGAGTGCTAGGACAGCCTTCACGACGATCGAGTACTTTATCCAAGGGGCCTCAGCCTCAACGACTCGCACCAAAGTGAGTTGTGCATTGCGCTCTATAGCATGCCAGAATGCTGGTCTCACGATTTTCAAGTGCTAGGACAAGTCTTATGCTCAGTATTCCCGGTCCGTTTCTTCCTCATTCCGAAATGAATCGGTCGACTTTGCAAGCGCTCGTTCCATTGCAGAACCATCCTGCTGCAATCGTTTGCTGCCCAGATCCTTCCTTATTTCACAGTCTTTTGATAAATAATCTGGACAGCCAGGGAACTTTGATGGAACTGCGCCTGGGCGAAGGGGGACCAGCGGCGCAGTCACCGTCCTCCCGGTAACTTCGTCGACGTGCGACACCTCCCGAAGAACGTCGTCGTCGTCGAAGTGACGCTCGCACACCCACAAAAATATATACCCTTAGTATAAAATAATAGCGACTTACCATTAAACGCTACACGTCTCCGTTATCTCCTATCCACACAACCCTTGTATTGCTATCCCTTTCAAATGGCGCTATGCCACTTCGAATACGAGATAAACAATTAAAAATGGGAATTCCTGACCTTCGTTCTTTGGAAAACAATGACGTTTTCTCGGGGGATGGCGCTTATCCAGGCATTCCGCAGCGCTTCATCTTGAGGAAAGCCGAACACGTGCACTTTGGGCCCCGTTTTGTAGTTACCGTTACACCAAGGCACACAGCATTTGCCAGGCATGACGGAAACAGCGCTTGATCATCGAGCATAATACCCAGAGCACTCCTAAGTTGAGCGACATTTGAAACAAGACGAACAAAGAAAACAGCCGAGGCAAAACCAAGCGTCTCTGGACACGCCGAAACATGCTGCCTCCATCCGTTCTACACCTTGGAACGTCCTGGAAACCCGCCGAAGCAAGCCGGCTCCATCTGCCAAGCCGGAACGGAACTACACCATGGCCGCGGAGTAGGCCGAGTAGCGGTGACGTAGACACACGAGATCGCGGGAGCCCCCTGGCTTTCGTCCTCTAAGTGGCCTTGGTTTGGCACCACGGGGCGTCCCCGCAGGTGGAGGAGGTTTCTGCGTCGTCCGGTTAAAATATGACGCACTGATATTTTGTGACTCTCTCCGTGCCCGCCGGGTTGCCCCGAACACCAATAGACGTGGAAACAGCAAAAAAGGTAGACGCTTCCCACCCCTTTTCACTTTAGCAAAACGAACACCGCAGAGGAGGCGACTTCCTCTCCAGCGTTCGCTCTGCTCAAATAGTAAGAGGTGGGAAGAGTTTCCACTTTACTCCTAACCCATCGAAGAACCGTCCTCATTCGCGCGCACGTTTTCAAGGCAGCGCAACCACGCCTGCGCGGGATCTTTAGTGTAAACCGACAGTGCCCCTGCCGGGAAATCCGCGATGTCCGAGCGAAATTTCGGCTCGCTTTCTGGTCTTAACCGAGACAGCTCTCTCTTCTTCCACCGCGGCGTCCAGTTTCCGAGAGTGCACAATCATCGGCTGATCTGCAGGTTGACACTGCAGTGGTGACAATAGGGAGTTTTCGTGGACCGTTTTCGCCGTCCCGCAACGCGCTCCGCAACCCGCTACAATAACCGGAACTCTACAGTCAAGGCCGTGGGCGCGCAGGCGCAGTAGCGTCTTCTTCGTTGCGGAGGGCTCAGCGGAGGGGGAAACGCGGTCTACGAAAACTCCCTAATAGGGAGTTTTCGTAGACCGCGCTGCCCTCTCCGCTAAGCGTTCCGCAACGAAGAAGTTGCTACTGCGCCTGCGCGCCGATAGCCTTGACTGTGGAGTTCCCGCTATCGTAGCGGGTTGCGGAGGGCCTTGCGGGACGGCGAAAACGATCTACGAAAACTCCCTAATGACACGCTCGAGTAGCGACGCGAACTTTCAGCATCGCACCGAGCAATTCCCCACGTGTCGGACCTCGTCGACGACCGGGCAATTCGCAGCAGGCCGAGCAAGAGTGGCTGCGCGTGGGACAAGGCCGAATGGATTTTCCACGCCATCTACCGGAGGCGGGGAGCAGATCGGACGAGAGTCGTGTCCAGTCCGTGGCCTGCACTGCCTCCGGAAAGTGACGTAGAAGCGCTGCGGCCTCGTTACCTGGCCCACGCATGACGTGATCGCCGTGTGCTAGCGTCTCACCCGTTGTGAGACGCCGCGAGAGCTGGGCGGCGCTGCGAGCGAGAGAGGACGGAGCAAAGAGGAAACGAACGCCATTTTGACGCAACACGCTCTCGGCGCACAGCATGCTGTCGAGGCTACGCGTCGTCTGCTACGGGCCGACTTCTGTTTCGCCCGAATAAAAGTTTACGGTCAAACGTCGCGAAAACTTCCATTCGTTAACTTTTAACCCACCGAGGAATGACACTGCAAAATTTTCTTGCCAGTACCAGCGAAATAAAAGGGAAGAAGCAAAATTTGGATGCCGATCCCACGCATTATAGCGGGCGAATGAATGAAAAAATTCTGCGGACACGTAAGCACTTATTAGGGTGTTTTCGTAGACCGCGTTTCCCCCTCCGCTAAGCCCTCCGCAACGAAGCAGCCGCTACTGCGCCGGCGCGCCGATGGCCTGACTGTAGAGTTCCGGCTAGCGTAGCTGGTTGCGGAGAGCGTTGTGGAACAGCGGAAACGATCTACGAAAACTCCCTATTATGAGTTGTGATTGCGAAAGCATCCCTGGCTCGCTGGGGACTGCGGCGCCGCCGGACGAGGCAGCGACGGGTGTCCGAAGCTCCGCGCGGTGTCGGTGGTGCGTAGTTCGGCGCGGGGCGTGCTGAAATCACGTGTCCTCTTATTATCATCATCGCCCTAGCTGCGGGAACCGGTTGACCAACGTTAGACCTCATAGCGTAACGTTAGGTCCAGCGTCAGGCCAGCACATACCTGCGTCCCCCCCTCCCGCTGCGCCGCCAGCAGTTCGACGGGCCCCTTAGCAACGATTAGGCCGTTGCTATGCAGCCACATGACGCGTCGCAGCCAATAGGAATTTAGGTGCCGTTTATCGCTGCTAGAGACAACGATAACGTCGGCTTCAAGGTTAGATGACACAGAATCGCTCCGTGAGCCATTTAATGCTTTCGTATTAAGATGGCTGCCCTCCCCGCACAGCTGGGAGCAGCCGCGGGAGTTCACGCGTGCGTTCCCGCCACTCACTCTGTGCCGCGGGCCGATTGGCTCACTCGGGAGTGGGGCGTTACGGCGGCGAGATCATAAACTGGCCAAACTCTCCCAATATACGGCTCTGGCACTCCGTGTCACTATTTACGTTTAGTACAGGCGAAGGCAACGCCTGGCGAGGGGAGAAAGGAAGGCTGGGGAGGAGGAAAGAAACCTCTTCTTCCTCCCCTTGCCCGCTAGAATTTCGTAGCAGTTAAAAGTTCAGGGGAAGCTGCTCCCACCCCACTTTAGCAGGGCGAACTTTGTCTCCTGGGGCTCGCTCTCCAGGGTGAAAGGAGTGTCCCTTCAACTCTTAAAAGGATACTGCAACGAAATTCTATAGCGCCTATTTTATCCTCTAAGTGTCAACCATGTTCTGGCCATACCAAAGAGACAGCCATTTTTTTCCTCAAAAAGACACCAAAACATTATTATAACTAATGAACCGAATGTCGTTACGTAAAACTACCCATAAAAAGAGCGCCACTCCGCGGAAGCACGCCGGCACGCGGCGTGCACGAAGGTTCTGTCCAACTTGGCCGAACCGGATTCCTCTCCCGCGCTATGCAACTCCCGCGCGGAGCGGAAAGTGGGCATTTCGAACGGCCAGGTTGTAACGCGTTGACGGCACCAAGTGGCGAAGCTGGCAACCACACCAGCTTCTTTGTAGTCTTGACTGTGAAGGTAAACCCGACGTCAGGAACGCGCTGGAGGACCCGGATTTCCCGAGACATATCGCGCTCTCCGACGGCTACTGTTTTCGAGCGCTCCCTTGAATCGGCCGCTGGGAACGAAAAAGATGTCCTCCCTCTCAAAATACAAACGTAAGACTGTCCTTGGAAGATTTCGTTGATCACGTTGAACTCTTTTCTGCACGTGAGACGTACATTTCAATTTCCCTTCCTATCAGCGACTCTACGTGACACGCCGGCGGGCGCCCGAAGTCCTCGAGACACGGGCGCGCGGAACGCCGCTCCGAGCGCGGCCGGAGCAGGCGGGGAGGGCACGTACCCGTTGAGCAGCGGGGCCAGCTCGTGGGCGGGGCCCTGGTCCTGGTAGACGAGCGTCTCCACCATCGAGCCCTTGAGACTGCCGAAGGACACCCTGCGAGACACAGAGCGCGCCGTCAGTTGCCAGCTCCGAGGCGACACCTGGCGCCCCACCCGCAGGGAAGGGAACGCTCCCGCTCCCTGTTTACAAACACGGGGCGCGGCACTCCGGGTCGGCCCCGAGGGCTGGCACGCCGACCCAGTCGACGAGCCGCCCGCTGCAGCGTCGGAGGGGCGACTCGAGAGCTTGGTGCTTTCGCCCGGTGCTCCGCGCTGCGCATGCGCACGTCGTCGCCATGTGCCGATCTAAGACCCCAGTTTGGGCTCCGCACACGCGCAATGCGGGAACACGCAACGCCAATGCACAGTGCTCGCGTTTGCTCGTATACCCAATACTATCCACGAGGTAAAGAAGCTTAGAGCGATAAACTGGTATCCCGTTTACCAGGCAAAAGGGACCCCACTTGGCTGCCGCCATGTTGTACAATTTGACCACCATACTCCGCGACAACTTTTCTTGGCAGTGGACTGTAAGGTACAGGCCCGCGTCCCCTCTCCCATTTTGAGTGTGCACAGGCATTCCTCCTCCCCCATTTCCGGGGAGAGGAGGAGAGCCTGTGCGGAAGAGGGGACGCGGGACGTACCTTCCACTGCATTGCCAAGAAAAGTTGTCGCCGAGTATAGACACGTGACCGTACCAAATCCTGAGGCTTTTGCGCAAAACTGAGCCGAGATTTGTATTGCGAACCCTGTCAAAAATATGATCAGCTATTTTTATCCCACTGTTAACCGCAGAGATCACTGTATCTTGCTGTCTAGCTCCAATTGAAAAAACAAAAAATTACGTCACCGCGGCTGACGGCATCTAGCGGAGGCATTGCGAAGCTGCCCGAGTTTTTGTCGTAAAAGCACATTTTGGACTTAAAACAAACGAAACGTAACTTACCTAGTCGGTACTGTTATTAAAGATCAATAAGCAATTATTTGTGCGCGGTACTTCGTAAAAATCTAGACGCGAAACTATAAGGTCACGTATCTAGCGGTCAAAAATACGCAACATGGCGGCGGTCACATTCAGCTGCAGTTTATCGCCCTAAAGTTCTCTACCTCGTTGACAAAAACTCACTGATGTCGCGTGCCACAAAGATCTCATTTGCCTAGGGCACACGAGGAGTGCTTGCCGCAAACTAAAGCCCCTGGATGTTTCAAAACTAGCGCAAGGTGCGTCGATGCACGAGGCACGTGCAACGTGGAGCCTTTGGGAAGATCATGGCGGCACAGCGTACCACTGAGCTACATTTCCGACGCCATGCTCTTCCCAGGAGGGGCGCGCGGCAGGTGTCTCGAACATTCGCGCAACAATGAATGGCGCCACTTTTCCTAGAATAGGGAGGCTTCACCGCCAACGGGTGCACAACACCGAGGAAGAATGCGTTGTTCCCCTTCTCCAGGGATTATTTTCGTCGCCTGTTTCTCGTTATTTTTGTTTTTTCGTTCTTTTATATCTGAGGAATGTTTGCGGTAAAGGCAAAGGCGCGTGAGCCAAGCTCAGCAGAGGGCTTTTGTTTGTGCGGAGCTCGTGCGTAAGAGGCTCTTTGAAAAGCCACGTACCTGCGCCTTTGTCTGCACAGCAGATGTTTGTATGGTGCTTCATTCGAAGTCCTTGCGACGCTACAATAGACCGATCTCACCAGCTAGATTGAGTACATTCTAGTACACTGTAGTTTGAGTACGCCACCGCTGCCGACATGCATCGCGGGCGCTGTAGTCTTTCTCCACGCGCGACAACCCCGCTGGAGGTCTGCGCGAGCAGAGCACGAGCCGGCATGAGCTCTCTCGTGAACTGGCGTCTGCCTCCTACGAACTACAGTTATGGCGGCGTCACGCATGCGTGAAACGCTTGGTGGGATCGGTCTATTAGAGCAGACCGAAAGTACATGGCCACGGCGCTCGCTGTTCTCAGCGGGCCAAACCAATCGAAAGCCTCGCCGCACATTCACCTCATCAGGCGGTCAGAGCAAACGAGACGAGGACCATATGATCAGGAACTTTTGCCGCTCTATCCGATCCCAGACTTCGCTAGAGCTCATCCCAAACGTTGCGCTTGACCACTGCCCATTTCTAACAAAAAAAAAAAAAAAAAAAAAAAAAAAAAAAAAAACATTTATCGCTTATTATCCCAAGGTCATTAAACATCTCCTAAAATATTTTCGCCAAAATATGTTTTTATGGCGTGAGCGTGGTTCGAACTTCTAGAATGGGCGTAAAACTAGACATCGATCGATGATTGAATAAAAATCAGATTTTCTTCGAAACGCTTCACGGTTTGTTTTATGAAATTCGAACGGCTTTCAACTTGATACGTTGTTATGATTATATGCACATAACATTTTTTTTTAATCAGCAACGTGCGCACAAATCAGCACTTCCCTCAATTTTTTACATAGAGGAAAACTGAAGCGGTTCTGTATTTGAGAAAGAAACACTGAAATCGTCTTCATTTGGCCTCCAGGATCACGAATATCGAGAATATTTTTCGAAATGGTGCACGGAGGCTGTGGAAAATATTTTTAGAGCTTAGATTTCGGCAGCCGTTTTCGAGTTTCGCAGCGTCACCGTCGGCGTAACCGACCCGCTAAATTCAGCGAGAAATTTAATTGGTGTTGAGGTCCCGTGATGTCAATTTTCCCGCTAAATCTAGAGGAGAAACTGAATTTCTACATGGTTGACGTGATACGAAGTCATGTGTCATTTTCCCCGCTACATTTAGCGGGCAAACTCAATTGGTGTTGAGGTCACTTGACGTCAATTTCCCCGCTAAATTTAGCGGGGAACTTAGCCCGCTGAGACTAGCGGGAAAATTTCCCGGCTAAATTTAGTGGGAAAAACTTCCCCGCTAAATTTAGCGGGGAAATTTTTCCCGTCAAAGTTAGTGGCGAAATTTCTCCCCGTAAAACTTAGTGCGGAAGTTTTTCCCGCTAAGTTTAGCGGGATAAAGAGGAGGAGGGGAGGGTACGGAGGGGCATACCCCCCTTCTCCGTACTCTGCCCTCCTCCTCCTCCTCAAGAGCTACGTTCTAATTTCGCATTACAAAAAATAGTAAACGTCTTTCACTTTTTTTTTTTTTTTTTTTTAGGGTTTTATCGAGGTTTTTTTAATCCGGAGCATGACGATATATACAGATTTTTCGGAATCTCCACCCTCGCGGGTCCTTCGGCGGCTATCAAAGCAATGTACGCGCACCCTCGTTATTTAAAAAAAAAAAAAAAAAAAAAAAAAGGTAGAAAAAGACGTCACGACTGGTGTCAGTGCGAGCAAATATACTACGAGCGACACGCGCTTAGCGGCCCAAAGATCATGGTATGATGATTATGGACTGGTTGAAGGGTTTTCGTGTATTCTCGCGTTTAGTTACATCTTCCGGAAAACCGAAAGTGATATTCAGGTTCACCAGATAAAATATTCTAAAATTCACCTCTAACTTTTTTTCAAAATCTTTTGAGCTTTCTTTTAATTGTCGCTTTGCGCGTGGAAATTGAAACTTCTTTTAATGGTAGCCCCGTAAATATATTACAAATAAAAAATGTTTGAAGCTGTACAACAAAACGCTTCACAGACAAAAAAAAAAAAAAAGATACATTTAGTCCGTTTTGTTGCATAAATAACCGTCTATTATACCGTAGGGTGGCCCAAGTAAAAATACAAAACATATTGGCTTTACAAGAAGAGTTTATTGTCTTCTTATAAATTTTCTGAAAGTTTAATCAAAAAAATTTTTGTCTATATCGAAAAAAAAAAAACTATTGAAGTGGAGGTCCCGAGTTGCAATCTGGCATTGTTTCTTGGCGCCTCTTCACCGCACAACACGCCACCTGACACGAGAGCTGAAAAGCTTTGCGCGCACGCGAGCCAATTTATAGTAGGGAATCTCATTTCCGCAGTGGGTTCTGCGCATGCCCAATCTTGACTCGCAATAGACCCTTTCCGAAATTCTGAAATGATGCATAGATTATGCGCAGCCTCCGGCCACTAGTTGGTCGCATCGCATCCGGCGTGTAGCCCGTCATCGGGTCCGAGTTCGCGCCGAAATGCTGACGAACCGCTCGTTTCCAATGCGTGCTCAAAGTGCATGACCAATTAATGGCGGCCAGACATAATCTACGCATAACTTCGAAATTTCTATAAGGGTCCATTGCCTCGCGTATACAGTCACTCTTTGCGGCTAAACACGCGCCACAACCTGCCACGGCCTCTTCCACTCGTTTTTATTTTCGGCTGCAAGGCAAACAACGGGCGCTTATCGCGCGATAATTGTACGTGCCGCCACTGCAGAGCAAACTCGTTGCGCCCTTTGTACCCGACGTCAGCTCCCCTCGCACCGAAACTTGATGCCTGAGTCGGCGTCTACATCTCCTGACAGGGATTTCTCCTCTTCAGGAAACGTGATGACGATGGAGCGAAAATACTCCGTTTCACCTTCCCACAGGCGGCAGTGGACGCTACGAACAATGCCATGGTCAATCCAGCCTCGGGCACGTATCACATCACCCGAGCCCCTCTCGAAGGTCATGTCCTACTTGCACTCATTAGCGGATGCTGATGAGCATATGTAAGACATTCTTAGTATTTAATTTTATAAAGTAGGATGATAGTTGTCTCGTCGTGACCCATCATAATGTTTCACCGGCTCTGTTCAGTTGCAACGATTATGGCATTTCCGCTAAGTGGATTTTTTTTTTTTTTTGCTACATTTTACGGGAAGAGTGCTTGTGACTGAGTAGGGAGCCAGTGAAGCGTTTGGCAGCAAGGGCCATCTTCGAAGTCCCTATCGGAATCAAATTATGACGGCCTATCAGCTGTTCACCTGGGCTACAAATAACATTGGAGGTATTACAATTCTCTGGGTCCCGAGAGAAATGGTCGAAGAAAAACGAACCCGACTAACTACATATGGTTCAGCTCAACGGACTCCGTCAAAGGGACACGGAGTTTTCAACATTTCGAGCCAGCAACACCCTCAACGCTGCGTGCCGGATTTACGTCCTATTCAGAGAC